AAGAGCCAGAGCAAGCCGCCTGCATCTTTATTGTATAATTCTTATATAGGTTGCTATCTCATATTTACATTCTTACATAGTGTCATTACCAGCACATGCATGTTTACCTGTAAGTCAGGGTTACATAACTGTATCCCACTCTGTGCCTGTGCTAGACAAGCAAAGTCACATCCTCAGGTGTCCTTAGATGCCCCTGAACTTTGAAGCAGTCTGAGTGGTTCCCCACACTTACATACTACTTATACCTATAAAATGGAAAACTTAATTAGTAAGTTCCCACTTAATCAGTGGGAAAAACACTACCAAAAAATGTTTATGTCATGTAGTATCTCTAATGTAAAACTGATTATTTTATATTAGAAAGTGGCTCTTAAAACACTCAGACACATCTGGACAGACAGCCTAACCCTTATTAACTGTTAATTTAGAATATTCATCTGAATCAAAGCAAGAGCTTTCTAACAGTGCCATGTAATTTGGGCCTTCTTTATTGATGTTCCATGGGAAGCAGATTGTCACAGCAATCTCCCTAGCACATTGAAACTGCGTTTCAGCACTTGAGCTCTGGTGTCTAAAAACGATTAAAGCACTGTATTTGAGATTAGAGGCAAGAGGGGTCAGCTCCCTGAATTTCTTTATTCCTGACCTGAGCCTGAATTCTAGATTTCCTATTTCTAGGCCCAGGCCCAGTGTAACTCAGGTCAAGCCCTCATAGATAAGTTTCTGTATCACAGCCCACATGAGCTGCCCCTGACATAGTCATCATATTTGTTCTATTTCTTTGACTCTTTCTGATAATATTCTTAAAAATAGTGCTGGTCTAGATTAGCGTCATTTTAATATCTTCTCTTGTCTGGGGAATTCCTCAATTGAGGTTTTGTAAATATAGTAGATGGAGGTATTCCACAAATTAAAGAAAGCTTTTTAAAAGCAAACTGATCGAAGGTCAGAGAGTATTTGTAGTCTTACAATCTGAACAGACACACTATAATAACAATTGTTTGTCCTTAGTGTTAACGAATTAGTTCAGTTGTAATTCATTCTCTCATTTATTAGCTTGATAAGGTGAGCTTTCTGCATTTCAGTAATTGTGTCATCATTAATTTCCATTTCCTAATATTAAAATATAAAATTTTATATTCCAATCATATCAAGATTTTATACCTCCAGTATGTGGTTTGTGTTCTATTAAAAGACATAAT